GCCGGAAAGAGTGCTTCAACAAGTTCCATATGTTCAGCTACAGTTCACTGATTGTTGACCTTAGCAATGAAAGGTCAATTCACTAATAGCTTTTCGATGAACTGCAGGGTTCACTGATGAAAAGCATTAAATGAGCTAGTCATTTTCACTTGGCGTATGTACTTATAATCCGTGATCTGCTACAGTTCACAAGTCCCACCCGTCTATTGGCCGCAGATTAACAATTTTCAAACAATCTGAATAGGTATGATTTTCGACGACTTTACTGATTCCACGATTCGTAAGCCCCATCTGCTGTACTTCAGCTGGATTGATAGTGTGGCTAGGGCTTTCCACTAGGTAAGCCGTTTTGCTTCACATTCACTGATTACTTCATTTTGCCATTTAGTGAAGTGCGCTGGCAGAACCGTATATTGGCGGTGGATTAACCACCTGTATCGGAGATTACGTAGGTTAAGTGAAATACGAAAGCTTTCAAGAATAATCAAAGAGTAGGTGAAAGGTGCTCATGAAGAGAAAAGGCACTCAGATGCCAGAAGTGAGACTCTTTCGGCTTAAGGCTATTAAATTTTTTACAGTTGAATTAATTAAAGTGCGAAAATCCGTTGAGATGAACACCTCTGTCGTTTTATTGCGTCATTCAATAGGCCGCTGACCGCGCAAATGACCTTTGCAACCGCCGCCACTACCGTATTTTGTTGAAAGCTATCGTTTACTGGTGTGCATTTCTAAGATTTTCTCCAAGCTGCTAGATTTTACAGAATTATCCCAAAAATTGTCAGAACACTTCGCGTATGCTTTAATTTATTTCGCAGGCTGCTCGCGTTTCAGTACAAAAGCTCCGCAACTCTGGCACATTGATTCGATGTCTAAACAGTTTCCTCAAGAAAAGTGGCTCAACTTACAGCAAGCGCATTAATATTCCCTCTTCCAGTTTTATTCATTCTTTTGGAATGACAAAATCTTCAAATAATCATTCAGCATTTTCATTTTTTAATGAATTCGAAGCGTTTCCGCGGAATTCACAAAGCGGCTTAAGACGTATTTTCCAATGCATATTGTGCGGAGTGCTGTTCGCGACTTCGAGCGTATCCATTGCTTTCTCTGCTGGTCGCAAGTTCGACTGTCACAACAACTATTTTTGGCGGCACAAGAATGCCGGAAGCACATGACCTAGTTTTTACGTTCATATTTTTTGCACCGACCGAAGGAATAATCAACTTTTTTGATAGCACGAGTGATTGCTGGTGGTTAATGCGCTAATGCACATCCCACAGATGTTCGTTTACTTTTTATTCAGAGTTAATTATCACGAAAAGCAAGATTATTTGTGGGTATTATAGGATGTTACGTTGTGACACAAAAGGATTTTTACCGTTTTATTTAGCAAACAGATTCCTCTACAAATAAGAAATGCACACATTTATATATTCTATCTGCAATAGGCTTCTTGTACAACAAATACCAAGACCGTCCGGGTTAATAGTGTAAGATATCCTATGCCAGTGATTTTGTTGATCGAGGACAGATATACCAGGCCATTCCATCCGAGCGTCTGCTCGATGTACGTGTGCCACAGTAGTCATTTGCTTTCTCTTGGATGCCACTTGCTATATGAACCGTCTGCCAGTTATCGGCATGGTCAGCAACTTGTCTTGCTCAACAAATTTCACTTCCTCACGTGGTCGCTATGTTATTGTGCATAACAGTCATCCGTTAGGGAGTCTGATTGTTTATATGGTCACGGAGAAACAACAAATACAACAGAAAATATGCACGATTTTCAGAGATCAGTGGAACAGTCGTTTTGAAAACACATTCTGCAACGCACCTCTTCCCAATATCAAATTTATTAAAGCTTCCAGGATGAGCTGTATGAAGATCGGTTTAATTCGCATCTAAAATAAATTTCTGGCAGATTTCAAGAAAAACGCAATGGAAATAAGGAAAAGTGCTCGATGTGTAACAAAAACTTTAGTTCAAGATGCAAACTTGTCTAATTGCTCATTGATCCACATTTTCCTCGGTTCACCACTGCTTTTTGGGCCAGAACGAATCCCTCACAGTCAGAACTGCTTAATCGATAAGTACTATTTAAAGAGGGCGAGGGGGTGAGTAGGTCGATGCCTAGAGGACGCTTGTTTAAAGCAACAGTCAAATGCCAAATAGCAATGCATGAGGCCGATTGGTTTTGTTTGCTCAAACAATGTGATCAGTTTAATATTGATACAGTAACTGAGCCACTCGAGCGGTCAATTATATTCTGACAGCTTACGTAACGTGCCCAAACACTAAGCCAGCAGTGGTGCGCGGGTCTGGCTCGGATATCCAAGTGGCGACACAATCGGTCCTACATCAAATCATAATTTTAGCTACAGCACCGTCGGTCACTTAGCGTGTTTAAGCGCAGATGCATTGCTTTTTTTCGAAGCTGGTGCAAGTTGTGGTACTGATAATGCTATAAATTCTAACCACTGGCCGCGGCGATGATAAAGGCATAGCTGCGCATGATGGCTCGTTAGCCATCATATACTGGTGCTCGAACTTGTCAGCCATATCGCGCAATTGTTGGGCTATCGTTAGTGTTCTCAAACACATATCTAAAATTATGCTTGGCCAACTCTTATCGTTTTTAATTTCCATATCGCCCAAGTGCATTTTGTAAAAAAAGTGAAAGTGGAGAAATAGACTTTGCCAAATTTTGCTTCGCTTCCTGTAACTCGAATAAGAGAGGACTGCAGTTGCAAGGTTTGTTGCTGAATTCTATCGCAATTTTTCGGAACAACTACTTCCGATTTGATATTTTCTCAGACTCCAATTCTCAGAATCCAAAAAGCTCAGAGAAATCTGCAAACCTTGTGACAGCTGCATGTGTTCGTTCACCACCTTTACAGTGTTATCCATCAGGAAAGCTGGAATAAATGCAGGGATATGGTTACTGCTGGACACTGTTTGGGCTATACTTGCCATCGGTAATCCGCTTATTGTTTCCATGAAACTTGATAAGATTGTTGTGCAACATGGAATCTGCGGTGTGGCTGAATGAGCACTGTGGCCACGATTTGAAGAACGGGACATCTGAATTTTGTTTGCATTTTCGATGCGAAGAGAAGACAGGTAGAAGGATAGGATTTAGTAAAATATCATGTTGTAGCAACTTTAGTGCTTGATTTTCTGCATATATTACAGCTATTATTATAGGCATAAGGCATTTTCAGTGTACTGTAAAAGCTTGCTAACAAACAGTGACACTGGTAAAAGCAGCTGAAAAGTGCGGCTGGACATGTAGAAAACTATTGTCACGGAAATCTTTCTCGAGCACTTTCCAAAAAAAACTTGCTAAGAATTTTGAAGGATTCACTGTGATAATTGAAGGATTCATTGTTCTAAGTGATCATCGACGAAGTACTCTCATTAAGCATTATAGATAGGGGGTAGAGAACCAAGTAATTTTTTACGCAACCGCTGTTAGAATGATTTACGTAGTCAGAAATGATAATAGTTCATTTTCACGATAGTGCTTTACAAAGTTATAAAAATCGTAGTCTGTCCGAACAGTGCTCATTTCTGTAAAATATTGTGTCGCGACTGACTGTTGCTTTAATCAATATATTAGCTATTTGCGACGAGGCCTAAGGAGCAGAGTAAAAGGAAACTGAGTGCCTAAAATTATTTTGAGTAGAGGCTCCACCAAAAGCTTTAAAAGTTATTGCCTGGCTTGTTTGTAGACCTTACTACTGTTATTTCCAACAGCAATACCACTCTCGCTGCGTAGTCATTTTTCCTGGATGCAGCAGTTTTTCCAGGTTAGCTACTGCTGCATCCATGCATCGGCCTGGGCGACAGGTGCCTTGTCCATGTGGTTTATTCAACAGTTTGCTAAATTATTTAAAACAATATATGAATTTACCTTACACTATATCGATACGGTCGTTGTTTTCCGAACAGCTGCTCAGCAGTCCCTTGCAAAATGTCCCTCAATAACCTGGATAAGCAGCCGGAGGTCGATTACAGTAATGCACTTTTTGTGAGCAGCGATGAATCAACTAACAGCCACCAGCCGCACCTCGACAACGACAATTTACCCGGTGAGCTGGCTCGGTGGGCCGAACTACCGCACAGTCACGCTCCTCCTTTGCTCCACCCTGTCTTCCACAGTGCATTGCGCGAAACCAATGCTGAAAATGGGAATGTAGACAGACACGCCCATGCTTCCATACAATAGAATGCTAATGGAGCAACGAGCATTACGCACCTGGCAATTTACAACTCCGGGAAAGCCTATCCCTATTTTGCACAATTTCCAGAAAACTGCTGCAAGCAATTAAGGTCAGATCTGAGAGGGTGGGAAAAAGGAGGCTGGGGAGCACCCCTCCCGTCCGGATGCGCGATAATTGTAAACTGTTGCAACATACTGAATTGAGAAAGTAGTTTTATACTGATTTGTAAAATATTTCGCTAAACTATGCTGGTTATGAAAAACATGCTTGTATGCATTTTGATTGTGCAGGCAGAAGAGCGTTTCTTTAGGGCACTAATGAGACGTGGTGAACTGTTCAACTAAAAAACACCTCGAACACCGCCTAATTCTCTCTTTTCAGGAAGTCTCTGTTTTCTTGCTCAATATAATTACAGGTTTATTCGTGTGTAAAGTACAATGTTTTACGAAGTTTTTTAACATTCAGTTGTTTTTATAACGTTCTTGATTAGTAGTGTAGTGCATGCAGAGCAAAATTGTATTTCAACACATATCTTCCACATTTGCATGTATCAATGCGTAAGGTGAACAGATGTATTTTCTTGTTCCAAGTGGCAACTAAGCCATCAGTTTGGCATAGAATGAAAAAAAAGGACGCATTATTCAAACACTAAACTGCAAATGCCAATTAAGGTGATGTAAAAGTCTAGCAGAAAAAGCAAAAGTTTTATTGTAAAGAAATTATGTTTAGATTGGGCACAACGTCTGTCCCACGCAAATTCAAAATTCTGCTGAAAACGCACTAAAACAGTTAATAAATTTTAATTTGTGTCAAGGTTTCGAATAAAGTAAGCACTCTCAACATGAAATAGTCATCGACAGCTTTGCCAGCGAGTGGTTGCTGTTGGCACTCTCAGAGGACTTCTGAGTCTCTTCACCTCCCATAGTGAGTGAGTCCCGAAGTGCATTTGACTTTGAAAATTTAGCACGCACTCTGTGGGAAAAATATGAAGCAACGCCCAGCGCTATCCTGGCTGGTAACGCAATTGCGCTTTGCTTGCTACTCGAATATCCAGCTTCTCCACATAAATTATCTCCGTAATGAGCAGGATCGGGGCAGTCAAAGGTCAGAGGTGTCAAGTGCGATTATTTGCAAACAGTAGCTTGCTATAAGGCGAATTATCTGTGGCATTTACCGCACTGGATCACAATCGGTCAGGATAAGTTAATCTCAGGAAAAAAGCCGCCGACTTTTTGATTTGGCGCAACTAATCAACACAGTTTCATTTGTCGGATAAATGACCATTCAGAGTGTTGCGTGGAACGATATTTAATTGCCCAGATGATCCTTAATGGCGGCGCATCGATGGCGCTTCATTAACATTTTTTAAACAAGTTCTGCAAAATTTCTGCTGGAGGAGCTAAGGGATTTGAGATCCGAGAAATCAGTACTGCCTGTGGAGAGAGAACATTTAGGAAATTAGCGCTGTGGTGAAAACATAAAGTTTTCTTCTTTCCGACCTTGACTCTTCTGGTGTTTCCTACCGTTA